AGAGAGAGAGAGAGGAACAAGCACTATGCCACTAGAAACTTCAGAATATCCACCGCATCACGCATGAATGTTATCGCAAAGTTCGCGTACGGAAATATTAATATTTCATCGCGATTTATCGGCGGATTAACGTGCTGATACAAGTTGGCGGAATTACTGAGTAACTTGTCCGCCGATTTTTCTAACAGAAGTTTTAAACGAAATTTTAGAATAATTTTTGTTTACATATTACTTATCGGTGACAACGTTATTTCCGCTGATCTGCCTGCTAAATTTAACAGAATGTAACGTGTCACTTGTTACAATTCGCGTTACACTTGTTGTTGAACTTGTTAAAATCACAATGATATATAATTAATAACAAAAGTAATTTGCGCGTTAAAGAGCTCGATAGAAGATTGATAAAAAAAATATCGAAGATGTAGCGCGTTCAGTTTATCCTGTGGCTAAATCCAATCCCTCGCTTTATGTCGAATTATTGCAAATGGATCGACGAAGGATTACGCTATTTCGCGATGCATATTTAATACAAATTACTTGGAGGAATATGCATCGCTATTTAACTAAGCGTTACCTTTGGTTCGGTTAAACACGACCGAATTTCACGGAATACAGTCATGTCCGACTGTATGCCGGCATAAGTAATATTCTGGTAAATATAACAGCGCGCGTAAGCGAAGAGAGAGAGACTTCGGGCTAATATTCAACATGCCGCACGCATAAATGCTGTGTCCACGCCTGAAGGAAGCGCATTTCCGGCGACCAGCGCTATAGGCATTTCAGTGTTCGCGTCAACATTCTGTTGACACAAGTGAAAAATTGACAGTAATAAAACTATTTGTACGTAAGCAAAAAACATTTTGTATTAAAATCGGTTCCTTGTTAAAATTTTCGTGTTAAATAATCTACATATTTATATTATTAAATTTAACACGTGTCTAACTGATATGTTAACTGATCTTAACAAATATAAAATGTAAAATGATTTAAGAAATGTGTTAAAATAACACAATTCGTATTTACGTATTTATTCAATATGTTAAAATATACACAAAGAAAATGTTGGTTTTTACTCTATAACAGGAGTGGGGATGACTTGTTATTATTCTTTGTGTAGTTTCGGCACATTTTCGAATCTTGAGGCGTCTCGACATGTTATTTTATCATAAAAATTATGTTAATTGTAACACACAATTAACTTCAAATTAAGATCAAGAGTACATTTCTTTTTTGTTGAAATATTAACATAGTGTCGGTGTTACTATTTAACACATCTATATTATGTTAAATTAACACAAAATTTTGAATGGACTGTTTGGGACATGCGATTTATGTTACGTTGAACACATTTTTTTCCAACAATGTAATGTGTGTAATTTTTAATCAAGTTAGCAACAAGTTTTCTATTTATTTTTTGCACTAGATAATTCAAATACGAATCAAGAAATTCAATAAACTGATCTCTTTAGATATTAAAGTTTAAATTATTTGAATAATCAAATTACCCTAATCTTTAAATTCGCAATTGGTTTACTCGAAATTCTACAAGACGATTGGAATAAATGAGTAAAATTGACTTAATTAACTTTTTAATCCTTCCAGAAAATATTTCTTTGACAAACAGTTACCGTTTTGGAACGCTTATTGAGTAAACATTGAAATTTTATTTGATTTTTATTTTATTCATGAAAAAATTAAGAACGCTGTCGTTCATTTAACTTTAGATAGATTTTATTTTAACTAGATTTTAAATTATATATTTAGCACATTGCAATTTAAAAAAAACTGCGACGAATAATGACACTTTCAATATTTTTATTGAGAATGATTTTAAATTTGCGTTCATAAAGACTTAATTCATTTATTTTTTGTAAGAGAGACAAATATATCACCGATAAAAAACATTTAATTTAAAATTTTTCCACTTACAACGTGATGTGTTTACAACATGTTTTGTATTCTATCGTACACATATATTTTCCAATCTTATTACAAAATTTTGAGGTAAAAAAAAAAAAATGAATTTTGAATCCACATCCACAAGGTTAAATCGATCAACGGCATATAAATTTTTTAATAAAGAGAGTAGTTTCAATCGAGAAGGGTGAACGAACGGAGAGAGAGGGAAAGATGAAGTGAGTTTGTTGCATCGCCAATGCAAATTTGCGCGTTTCGGCCTTACAACTCTCAATGAGGAAAGTTACAAAATATTGCCTCTGTGTGCACGGTCCGGTGCTCGTGAAGTAGCTTGATCTCCCAATACGACGATGCCTCGTCGCTTCCCATTTTAAACACGTGAATTACGATGGGATAGATAAATTCGTTGAAT